TCTGCTAAATGGATAAAAGTTTGAGGGGCAACTAATGTAAATAAAGGTAGCTGTATTCATTTTTTAAAATAATTGTTCACAATAGAAAACTATTAAGGAATTTAAACTGTATCGAATTGTATAATTTAAATTATTAAGTGATGTAAAGTCTCGTGATATTAAAAGTTATTTTTTATTTATTGACTTTTATTTCATAATACAATATAATTCAAACTACAACTTGACTCTCTTTTCGAAATGAAAAAAGGATTGTGCAATCTGTATTATTGAATGGGAGTTTGGCCTTCTGAAATTAGGATCCTCCTTTTTCTAATAGTTTATATTTTACAATTTGATATAATTTTAGATTATAACCAACAATTATTGATCTAAAAAGAAGAAACTTGATTTTTTTTAAATAAAATTTTACATTTCAATATTATGAGTAGAAAGATAAATATTAAAAAAACATTTTTTTATCGACTCTGACCTAATTTAACTCTAAATTAATTAACATACAACCTAACTTCCAAATACAAAAAAATTTTAATAAAAAAATTTCAATTCAAATTTTAAAACAAAATTCTCGTTGCAATACAAAAAAATAAAAAATAAAATAAAACAATCATCAAAAAAACAAGTTACTCCATATTAAACATTTGAAACGGCATAGTTTTGATTATAAATCTGTTGACTCCTCACTCTTGGCTTGAGTTGAACCTTAAAAGTTGACTGCTCCTAGCTAAAGCATCAGTGCAGATACAGAGAAAGGGGAGCGAAGATGAAAGCGTTAGGATGGTGGTTGATGCTGGTCGGTTCCCTTCGATTAGCCTCCGTCTGGTTCGGCTTCTTCGATATCTGGGCTCTCCGTCTCGCCGTTTTCTCCAAGACTGCCAGTGAGTTCCCTTTTCTCCGTGCAATCTGGGTTATCTAAAGCCTTTTGCGTTCTAGAATTCGTTTTCTTCGAAAAGCACTTACTTTCATGAGAAAAGAAACTATTTTTATTAGTAAATTACGAAGGGACAAGGTGCTGTTTTTGTGTACGTGCCACCGTTGAGTTGTGGGTCTTAGGTGTGAGATCCCAAAAATTTGAGAGATTTTGGAGACACGAATAGGATTTGGTTCGTTTCTACTTTTGGTTATGGTGGAAAATGCTAATCAAATTGTGCATTGATTGATTTAACTGTTTTGTTTTGTCTGAAACAAAGTGGAGATATTTTGAAAATTTTGGGGTGATATGTTTGTTTTGTTCTATATGTTGCTGATTAGTGCATTGTTTAGCCAAATTCAAGGTTGGATATTTGGATTATGATCAAAGTTAGCACATGACTTTTTGTTGTTTCTTGGGTGGAGACTGTTGTCAAGTTGAAGATGTAGAACCTAGCTATTAAAAAATAAATAAATGGTTGATTCTGGACTTAGTAATTCAATTATGAAGTTGATTGGATGAGTTTGTTAGATAGATGGTGAATTGCGAGTCCAGCAACCAAGGAAGATATGGGATATTCAAATAGGACATCCAGATGCAAAAAAAAGATTGGAACTGGAAAATGTAGATATGTTCCTAACATCTTTATATTTCTTTCAGGTGCATTTATGAAGGACTGTATTTGTAGTCAAAGATCATGTTAGGAATAAATAGGGCAGTAGATGGTTTCAAAGTTCAGACAGAATAACTTAATAAGAAGGAAAACTTGGATCTTGGTTCAAGTATGAACCCCAGGGAAGAAACTAAGGGGTGGTGGATGTTAAGAAGAATAACAAGGGGGATAAATTGCTTAGCATATGGCAAAATTTGAGTCCATGGAGATATGATGTTTGAGAAAATCTTGCCTTTTTATGAGGACCTTAAAGGTGCTTGATGAAATAGATTTATTAAAATTGTTTTTTCCCGCATCTGAAGTTTTATTTTGTGTCTAACTTAATTTGCTCTAAATCATGTGGAGTATCTCTTTCCAAACAAAATAAAGAGATCATAATTGAAATCTTTCTAGTGGTTGAATTCAGACTGGTGGTAACCTTCTGCTGCTAGGAAGCTCCTATTGCTTCTACACCACCAAAGCTTTAAACTTGACTGTTAGTCAGTTACATGAATGTGTAAAGGACAGCATATATATTCATCTGCCCCAGATATAATATTATAGTTTGGAGGTCAATAATTTTGAGTTTTACCATCAAATTTTACTTCTATGGAAAATATAGAACACATATTTAACATTTAATACATGTATAACATTGTGCAAGGTCCTGATAATTGGCCTCTGTGTTTGAACTTTGGATGCAGTGACTGATGTTCATGGGAGGACATTTGGAGTTTGGACACTTTTAACTTGCACGCTATGCTTTCTTTGTGCATTTAATTTGGAAAATAAGCCACTATATTTGGCCACCTTTTTGTCATTCATCTATGCTTTTGCTCACTTTTTGACTGAATACCTCTTCTATCACACAATGGCCATTGGAAATCTGACAACTGTTGGCATCTTTGCAGGTATTTATTTTGTTCTTGTTCTGAACATAAGAACATGACATTGCTTGCCATCATATTTTCAATACTCTTTCTGTGCTTTAAATTTGGACTGAAGTCTGATTTCTCTTTCTTGACGTATCATTTTTTTGCCCCAAGTTAGGTGATTGTTGTGAACTGAGCTAGTAAGCTGATCAACGTAATTAATAATTAATATTTCTTTGAAAATGGAAATAATAATTTCTATTCTTTTCCTTGATGTCATTTTTTTTGCACCAAGTTAGAGACTTAGGGTTATGTTGCAATCAGGCCCAAAATAGAACTACGTTGAACCTGGACGGGCCTAAACTTCCAAGACTGCAACAGGCCTTAGCCTTAGGTGTATTGTTATTTATAGAATATGTAGAGCTTGGGCTCTTTCCAGTATTGTTGCAGGCATCTGTGCTCATTGCTGACATGAGATGAACTATCTTATAAACATTCTAGTTGAAATCGAAACATTACCCTTTTTTTCTTAAACACTCTTTTAGTTTAACATGCTGCAAGTTATAAGGTTTTGGAAAATCATTTACTTAGCATATTGCATGATTGGACAACTCTACTTTATAGGAGTTTCCATTGTGATCTTGAATTGATTTCTCTTATTTCTTTTATCTTAAAACAGGCACATCAATCGTATGGATGTTGTTACAGTGGAATGCACATGAGCCGCGGCATGTCAAAAATTCATGAAAACGGAATTCAGTTGCTCTGCAGACAAGGCGGGATCTTCTCATTTCATTTTTTCAATTGACATTCACCGTTAGGTGTTTACTTTTGAGCCTTGAGGGCCTTTTGCCAAGTGAACTGAATGTAACAATGTTGTAAGGATTGATTTAGTTTGATTACAGATCAACGCTTGGAGACATGTCTCTAAACTTCCACGTATTATGTTTTTTTTTTTTTTTAACGATATTTGGAGGCTTTTATGGTCTCTGGCTTTGGACTGTCGACGGTAGGAGTCTTGAGTTTCATCATGTGGGGATTGCAAAACTTGGACCAGTTATCCAACTTGTACAAGCCCGTACCACAATCCTTGGGGATAACTTCTGGCATATTATTTGCAGCCTCTCTAAATAAAAATAACATTCATGGCTTTATACAATTATCATACGAGGTAAACAAAGACTTCAGCCGAGTCCGTTCTAATGAAGCTGAGTCATAGTTTGTCACACGGTCAGGAGGCATTTCAATGTCCTCCTTGCGCTCATTCCCTACTTTGATTATGTCTTTCTACAATTGTTTACAACAAAGCAAAAACATTTGCACTCCCCTGAACATGTGTATCTTGAAGAGCCAACTTGATCACCTTCCAAGGTACAAACACTACAATCTGTTCATTACAAACTCTGATAACCTGCAACTTCAACTGTTATACTTAATTGCTATAATTCTATCTCTGCAAATTAAAGTGTCAAATAGAACCAGATCCTCCCTACCATCTTGATGGAGAGAGGAGGCAAAAGAAATTATGAAGACTCATCTTGAGACACCTATATTCTTTTCAATGTTGCTAAGATTTCCTCTGCTTTCTTTTTGAGGCATCTAAATTAGCATCATTGAATAGAGCATCATTCTCTACCACCAACCATCCAACTTTCTCAAACGTTGAATTTGACCACCATTTCCCATGGCGATGCTCTTTTGCAAAACAGCACTAGAGGCATCATCGCCTTTGTAGTTTTCTTCTCTTGCCTCTTGAGAATCCTCCTCGCCTTCATTTTCAATTTGACCTTCCATTAAACTTGAATCTTCGATTTGATTTTCCTTTTCCCTATCTTCTTCATCAATAAGATCTTCCACTTCAGACTCCTCCTCCTCAGTTTTCTCTTGATCTTGTCCATCTATCTCATCATCTCCACCACCTCTGCCTTCATCATCACCTTCTTCAGGTTTAATCTCTTCCACCTCTTCTTCTTCTTCATTCTCACCTCCTTTGTTATCTTCCCTCTTTGATAATTCTACTTGAGGATTGAGGTCCTTCCTCCCAAGTTTTATGCCTCCATGCTCACCACGTAACTTTTCAGATATGCTTCCATTCCCATCATTGAAAGCCTGCTTGTTACCGTATGAATGCCTGATTTGGTTAAGCAACCAGATACAGACGCCAAGCAACACAAAAACCTGCAGAACATGCTTTACCTTGAATCCCTTATCCCTGTGGTTTCTAGCAGCAGCTGTTTGCTTTAGCATGGTAAACAATCCTTCGTCCTTAGGTCCTTTGTTCGTTTACTTCGACAAAGAAGTTCCAAACTCAATCTGTAAAGTAGGATAGGAAAGAATCAGACTACATAATCAGAAAAAATTAATGTGAAATTGAATGCAGCCCTATGGTTTTGAAATCTCAACTATTCATAGAAAGAAATGAACAATTCAACATCCTATATAATAAAAGGTCTTACAGCAAATAGGCAAGAATTTCATTCACAAAGAGAAGCAGATGCATAAAGAAGATGAGTACAGGATTAATTAATTAATTACAATTGCATAAGCCTTGAAAACTAAAGATTCATGTCCTTGCCTAAGAATGATAGAAAAGTGAAATGCTAACAAAATTTCTCAATGGAATGGTCAAGTTACTAACTTTGTGAATACCCATCATCCCTTTCAATGAAGCACCTCCAAGCCACAACCTTTCCATTTTCTCATTTTCTTAGTCTCTTTAGCTCCATGTGAAAAAATTGGCAGTGTTTATAACACGTCATTCATCTCTCCCAACGTAAAAAGCAGACAAATGACAAACCCCATTTCAGATTCAGCATTTCTTGAAAGAAATTAACAAGAAGAGAAGAACATCTGAATAAAAAAGAAAACCCTTCAACACACACACTACTACCAAAGCAAGAAAAACCCAACAAAAATTCAGAAAAAACAATGCAGCTGAGAGAAAACAAGAGAGAAAAAAAAAGATACCCTTGAAAAGGCTGGCTGAGCTGCAGATCCGTAGTTGAAAACGAAACCTTATGAGTCCTAGTAATTGGAACACACACACAAGCATCGGCACAGAGTGTGCCGGAGCAGCTACAGAGCAAAGGCAAAAGTTTTCCTCTTCCTCCAAAGAAATGGTGAGAATGAATGAGATAAAGCAATTTTTTGGGGAATTAAAGGGTAGTTGGGGAATACCAATAGCGCGGCCCTCTTCACTTCACTCTACCGGACAGGACAGGAGGAAATGGTGAAGAAAACATTGGGTGGGTTGTGCAACTGTGCATAGGAATGTCGGTATTGGATCCACTTGGCACCTACTTGGTTGAGAAATTGTTTTTTCCCTTGGGTTCATGCGTGGGGTCCTGCCTAAGGAATTACGAAACGACCTCGTTTTGAGCCGACAGACACGGGCTTCCCAATTCCAAAATTTGGGTTTTTCCTGGGATTCACGTGTGCCGTTTTATCACCTTGGAATGAAACACTAGCGGCACCGCCT